GGTTGTGTGGTGATGGCATAGTAGAGCAATGGTGGTCTACATTTTAGGGTTTAGGGTGAGTGTAATTTACTATTTACTTTTTCTTTTCAATTATTGAAACCAAAATAGAGGAGGGAAAATAGAGATGATTTCGTTTAACTTCAAGTAACTCTAAAAACGCAAAAATGAATTTTCTTTAAATCCTTTCATTTCATTTACAAATGCAAAATCAAACAATGGGTTGATTATGCAGTCGGTATATCTCATCATCTCACATGGAAGTATTGTTCGATCGGTATCATGCAGTGCAATAATCATATATCTTTTGAATTTGAAGCTCAAAGAGATATATCAAAATAGAAGTGTTTTAAATATCATCTGCATCCAATGTGAAATGTCAACACATTGAACAAAAAGTTAAATTTCATTACATATATATATATATATATATATATCTTTTTATGTGCTAAAACAAGTTTAATATCAAACCATATACTATATATATATATATATATATTAAGAGAACAACAATGTTAGGAATACAAAAATTAAACACAAAATGAAACACATATACTAATAAAGGGTGAATCTCTTGTGTGATTCCCATATGATGTAGACCCTACTCCTTATGAGACATTTGTATCACATTTTGTATTTAGCTTATGAGCACTTTGACTTATTGTTTGGAGAAAACTTCTCTCCTGTCCAATCCATTTCCATCATGGCCTGATTTCACAAATCACTGACCAAACAAGATACATTAATACCATCTTCAATTTACTGATGCTGATTAATCAATAGGACTTGGATCCACAGAGACAAATGCAAGAAATTCTTGATCACCTAGTAACATGTTCATCTCAGATTCATCCAATGTAATCCACACTTCAATCCCTTGTTTCCAACATATGAACCAAATTCATGAACATTGACCCACTTATCTTGTGACTGCTAACCCATATAGGCTAAGTTGGTGCGGGATGTCTAGTTTTTTAACATATTCTTACACATAACCATCCTTGCAAAAAGAAAAGAAAAGAAAGGAAAAAAAAATTTAAAAAAAAAAAAAAAGGAATTCGAGGCATATTCCAGGCCTCGAATTCGAGGCCACAAGCATTATTCTTTTTAAAATATCATTTTGGGTCATAAAATTACATATTTCCTATCATGAAATCATTATTTTTCAAATGATTTATCCTAAATAAATTATAGCCTATCTATCCATTTAATTCCAGAAGGAAACTGATCATAAGTACAGGCAATTGACTCACATCCACTTTGCAGAAAATGTATAAGTTAAACAAAATCCATAATTATTTTAATAAAAATAGAAGAAACATCTCTTCTAAAAAATTAATTTTAAGGTTTGCTGAACTCACTAACTAATAAAAAAATAAGAAGCACAATCACGAAACACTGCTACAGACCCCCAGTTGGGGGTGACCACCACCACCCCCACATACACGTGGGGGTCAAGGAGAGGAGGAGAAAAAAAAAAATTAGACCAATCAGCACCTATTGGGGGTGTTGGAGGTCTCCCTCATTTCCCTATTTTATTACAAGTTATCAGTATTTGTTAGGTTTCCACACTTGTAATGCAAAACAAGTCGCAAAACATTTGTTTCCTTACAAGTGAGTGAGAGAATAGAAAATTAGGGTTACACACTTATAAAACTTACAAGAAAATTTGATTGTCCATATTTAAAAAAAAAAATGTATACAGATATAGGCAAATGAATGCAGTTGCAGTTGCGGGTAAAAACTGCGACCCGCCCGCAAGTTGTAAAACAGGAAAATTCTAACTTGTATCTGACCTTAACGATTATGCGAAACTGCCCAAATACGTACAGGCAGTTTAGGTTAGGTGATTTTCACAAGTCAGATAACAATATACCCAGCCCTACTATTTATTATTTGAAAAATATTTGAGATATCTAATTTATCACTCTTAAAAATCATTCTTAATGATATGTCTGATAAGTGCCAAATTTTAATTTGTCAAATATTCCATCATGTGAGGTTTAACCTTAATGTCACATCATTAAGGATCATTTAGAGATTATAGATTATTGTTATTATTTATGATAAAATAATTTGCAAAATAAAGTCATTATTAAGAAATAAGAAGAATAGTTGGAATTTTGGATTTGCTCCTTTCAAGATCTAATTGTAGGCACTTAGTCTGACTTGGTCTGATGCACATAAACTGACTTATAATACTTTATAGAAAAATGATTTAGACTTCTAAAAAGAGAGTTCTAATGGAGTATTAATTTATCTTTTTCTTCTCCACATTTTGTCTTTTACCTCACTATTTATTTATTTTTATTTTTTTTATATGCAACCAGCTCATTAGAGCTGCACTGTAGCCGCTCTAATTAGAGCTCTGCAACACTGCCGTACTTTATATATCAAAATAATAATAATAATAATAATAATGAAGAAGAAGAACAGTTTATAGAAAAATGATTTAGACTTTTAAAAAGAGAGTTCTAATGGAGTATTAATTTATCTTTTTCTTCCCCACATTTTGTCTTTTACCTCACTATTTATTTATTTTTATTTTTTTTATATGCAACCAGCTCATTAGAGCTGCACTGTAGCCGCTCTAATTAGAGCTCTGCAACACTGCCGTACTTTATATATCAAAATAATAATAATAATAATAATAATGAAGAAGAAGAACAGTGTTGTATCATCTATTTTTTACCTATCAAACTTCATGTCTTGGTACAGTAAAAAAGTTAAAAATTCAATGTTCGACTTGATATCCTTCAGCAGTAATTTAACTTACTAACTTATTAATATTTTATTATTTATTTTTATAATAAATAAATAAATATATTTATATAATAAAGTATAATGGTTTTTGAATTTGTCCTACACACATTTGTTCTACTATGATATTTGGACGGCTCAGATTTATTTAAATTATAAAATAACGGTTAAGATATATTTTTCAAAAAATATCCTATATGTGCATTTTCTATTTTTCCGTTTCTTTCTCTTACTTTTTCATTTTCTCACCCATCCTTCCATGATCTCATGATCCCACCTTCCTCTCTCTTTTCTTTTTATTTTTCTCTCTATTTGTTTATTTGTTTATTTTCTTCTTTTTGTTCAATATATTTTACACATATTTCCATATAATGTATGTATGCCCGTAATACACTAGGATATTATGGGCATACCTACAATTTTCATCTAATTATATAAGCAAAAGCTACGTTGTATGTATGCCCGTGAAAATTGTATTTATGCCAGACACATCTATCTATCTAGCTATATATTATATAAGCAAAAGCGAGTTTTCGTGGGGAGTTTTGCGAGAACTTCAAAATTTTATAATAAATTTGTGATTTTATCAAATTAAAAAATAAATTTAAATAGTGTTGAGATTATAATTATATTCTAATCCTAACATTATTTGCACCGTGCCTTCAGGCACGGGCATAAGCTAGTATATATATATATCAAACTTTACTTTCTTAAAAGTTACACCATATGTTATAGGTTAATATCTTTTATTAATTTTGGGTTTATTATAAATTTTTTGGTGCATAAAACTAAACCAATTAAAAAATAATTGCTTAAATTTTAATTTACAAAATTATTTGTTATTATGAGTAAAATTTGGGTGTTTTGAGTTAGCTTTTCCAGTAATTTTTTTATAAAAAAAATTCAAAAAACTTTAAACGTTGGAACTAGACGGACTAAAAAAATGAAAAAGTCTAAAATGGATAAAAGAAAAAAGAAAAAGCAAAAAACAGTTGAATTTTTTTTTTACTTTTTCTAGATTTTTTCAGCTTTTTTTTTTTTTTTTAGTTGTCTACAAACCTGAAAAGTAAAAATAAATAATTGATATAAGTTTGAAAAAAGCTCATTAAAGATAAAAATAAAAATAAAAATAAAAATAAAAAATTGAAAAAATGAGTTTTTTAGTTGTATGCCAAACATGTAATTAATTAAATTTTTTATTTATACAAGAAGTAGAAATTTGAGATTTGTTTCTCTTTTCCTCTCTTTAAATTGTGAGATTTTTCTCTCTTCCACTCTTTAAAGTGGTAGCGATTAGGAGTGGTAACTATGTGCAATTCAAATGTCTTTAAATTAGGTTGTGCAATGTTTTGTGAAGTAACTTGTTAAATGGTTTATATAATTGTGAAGATAATGATTTAATGTAAATGTATATATTCATGTATTTATTTCTTTGTTCCAAGTCTTGTGCTTGTCTATATGTACAATGTATTGAACAAACAAAATTTTATTTCTTTATAATTTACTACACAAATGAAACATGAAGGACTGCGACTTAGCAATGTTGGTGGTGCAATAGGGGCGGTACTGATGATGGTAGTGATGGTGTTGGTAATTGAGTGATGGCGGTAATGACAACAATAACGATGCTGATTGGGTGATGGCAACCATATTAGTTGTGATAGTGGTGGGTGGTGATAATCATGGTAAGGGTGGCAATAATAATGGTAAGGTGGAGGTGATTGTGATTGTGGTAAAAGTGGGGGAAGTGGTGGTTGTGTGGTGGTGGTATAGTAGTGGATGTGGTGAAATGTAGGTTGTGTGGTGATGGTATAGTAGAGCAATGGTGGTCTACATTTTAGGGTTTATAATTTAGGATTTACTTTTTCTTTTCAATTATTGAAACCAAAATAGAGGAGGGAAAATAGAGATTATTTCCTTTAATTTCAAGTAAATCTAAAAACACAAAAATGAATTTTCTTTAAATCCTTTCATTTCATTTACAAATGCAAAATCAAACAATGGGTTGCTTATGCAGTCACACTTCAACATATCTCATCATCTCACATGGAAGTATTGTTTGGTATCATGCAGTGCAATAATCATATACCTCTTGAATTTGAAGCTCAAAGAGATATATCAAAATAGAAGTGTCTTAAATATCATCTGCATCCAATATGCAATGTCAACACATTGAACAAAAAGTTCAATTTCATATATATATATATATATATATCTTTTCATGTGCTAAAACAAGTTCAATATCAAACCATACACTATATATATATATATATATTAGGAGAACAGCAATGTTAGGAACACAAAATGAAACACAGATACTAATAAAGGGTGGATCTCATGTATGACTCCCATATGATGCAGGCCCTACCCCTTATGAGACATTTGTATCACGTTTTGTATCCAGCTTATGTGCACTTAGACTTATTGTTTGGAGAAAACTTCTCTCCTGTCCAATCCATTTCCATGGTGGTCTGATTTCACAAATCACTGACCAAACAAGATACATTAGTACCACCTTCAATTTACTGATGCTGATCAATCAATAGGACTTGGATCCACAGAGACAAATGCAAGAAACTCTTGATCACCTACTAACATGTTCATCTCAGATTCATCCAATGTAATCCACACTTCAATCCCATCACCCTCTCTTGTTTCCAACATATGAACCAAATTCATGAACATTGACCCACTTATCTTGTGACTGCTAAGCCACACAGGTTTTCCAAACCCAAAATCAGTCTCATAGATCCCAAACTTGGACCAACTTGTGAACCCATAGTAGTCCACCGGACCGCCGGAGCACAGATCAACCATCTCTTTCACATTCTCCGAAATCATCGACAACCCTTCTCCCCCTTGTAGTCTCTTCACGAAATCTCCATCGATATTCTTGATCGTCTCCCTCAATTTGCCAACCAAAGAAGGTAGCTCTATCACATCGTGGACTGCGCATTGTGTTCTTGGTATCCAAAGAAGATTCCCTATGGAGTATTCTTGCAATGGTGGCACCATTCTTCTACGTAAATCGACTGCGTGGGATAGTAAAGACGGCTTTTGAAAACCAGAGCTCGCTTTGGAAATGGCCATTGTGGATTTCCATACGAACGCGGTCACAACTTCAACACGAGACGGGTACTGCACGCCCGAGCCAATAGCAGCTTTACTCTTGAGGGTTGATATTGCTGAGGAATCGAAGACAAACCTCCTCGTCACACAATTACCCACTTTGATCATGGATTTTGCCAAGAAGGTTATCGAGTCCATTGGAAGTTGATCGTTTGGCGGGAAAAGAGAAGCCGCGTTGAAAGTAGGACGTACACTTTCAACGCAACCACGAGCACAAGCAGCCCAACCTTTGAGGAATGTACTAGTTGATATACCATCAAGAACTATATGCGAAAGGCACAAACCAATGACAATCCCGGAACAATCAAATACATTAACTTGAATCATAACCGGGTGAATTCTTGCATAGGGCTCGATTTTCGTGGGATGGCACGGGTAAAAATGGTTCAACAAGTCGAGGTCAGGCTTTAGCAGGAAATTTGAGAGAAGACAATTAACCCGGGCTTCAGAGAAATACAAACCCTCATCGTTGCAATCAATGGATAGTTGGTCGTCATTGATTCTTCCCGCAAGAGGATAAAAGAGAGTTAAGGCCTTCGATAGGGATTGCTTTAACTCGGTGACCGCCTCGGAAACATCAAGGTTGTCCATGAGATAGAAGAGTCCTACATGACTAAAGATAGTAGGATGGAGCTGATCTAGGAAGGAAAGCTTGTGGGTTTTCAAGTGGTGTGGAGTTGGAGAAGATGGTTTGATAGTATCTGTAGAGATGACTGTGACTTCGATAGCCATGACTCTGGCAATAAAGCTACTGTATAAACTTTTATGGAAAATTGGTTTTGAATTATATAATTTGCTGCACCAAGACTATATAAATGAAGATGAACTTGTAAAAATGAAAGCTTAAATTTGATTAACGTACTAGGATCGAAACTGAAAATTTGATATTAATGCCAGAATTTTAAGTTAATTAAATTTACTATACGTTAATTAAAGTAGAATTAATGCTAGAATTAAATTTAAGCTTAGGGATCACTCGTATGCTCAATAATACGCTAATTAAATTGACTGGGGCTAAAAACTAATACGTTAACTTGTAACATAAATTCTGCGTTAATTAAATTTAGCCCAGCGCTTGACTGGGGCCAAGGGATTAATTTAATTCTGGCATTAATTCACGTATTAGTTTTTTTGCCTCAGTCAGTTTTTAGCCCCACGCTTGACTTAAAGTTTGGATTACTTTAAAGCAGAATTTATGTTACAAGTTATAATTAGACACATCAAATAGGAGCAGTTGAATTTTTATTTTTCCCTTCAGTTTTTAGCCCCAGCCAATTTTAACACAAGTTGCAAATTAAAGCTGAACGGGGGTTTTGTTTGAATTTCAAAATTGTGAAAATTTCAAAAATACCAATCATTTTCACATTTTTTTTTTTGGAAAAAAACAACTTTTTGGTGTTTGCTAAAAAATAGGCTATGATTTACAAACATAAAATTTAAACAAAAAACACATTCAAAATGATGTGTGAATGTCATTTGTAAAATAATGAAGACAATGGTAAGTGTTTTAATTAAAAATATAAAAATCGCAAAAAAAACCACCTCATTCTATGTAAGAATAAAATTTGTAAGAAAATTCTGTTTGTATGTCATTTAATCAAATGTAAATACACATAAAATGTCTAAAAATATACTTTTTATTGAATTTAATAACTAAAATACCAATTTTTTTCATCGATTTACTTAATAAAAATAAATAAATAATTTAAATTGAAAACAAATTAAAATTTAAAAATTTAAATTGACAAAATTAAAAATTTTGAATTTAATTTGTTACAATGCTCAAAACTTGGAATTTTTTTAGGGTTTAAAAAAAAAAAACTCGAAGTTTCGCTTGTTTTTCAATTTAAATCCCAAAATTTCAATTTCAATTTCAACAAATTAAATTCTAGAATTTCATCTGTGTTTCAATTTGGCCCCTCCGTTCATCTCTATCATATTAAATTAACGAAAATCTAGATAGAATTTCATATTCAAATGTACATGGTAAAACACTTATATCTCTCTCGTTGTAACTCTGTTTTGCCTCATTTTTGCATCATTGGATTCACCTCATGGCCTAGTTTTCATTCAATTTTCCATACACCTTGTTCTACATATTTTTACTTGCCGTCGGAGCTCCAAAAGTTGGCCAAAAATATAATTTCTCTTTTTGAGTAAAATTTTCAAATTCAAATTCACATATTCAAGCATTTGTATCTCCCTCATCATAACTCCATTTTACCTCATTTTTGCACCATTAAATTCAACTCATAGCCTAATTTTCATTCCACCCCTCATATGCCTTGTTTCACCTCTTTTTATATGCCATCAGAGCTCCAAAAAATTAGCCAAAAATAAGAGCCTTGTCTGGTTTGTTTTTCAGAAAAAATTTTGGAAAAAATTCTCTACAAACAAATTTTCAAGAATAATCAAACCAAACAAATTATTCCAAAAAAATCTCAAAATTTTGTTTGGTTACCTACTTTCCAAAATCACCCTCTCTCTCTCATACACATCAAATCAATCACTTTTTTTAAAACTCTCTCCCCAAAATAATTTTTCAAAACCATTTGTGAAAAAGGCAAACCAAACAAGTTTTCATACTTTTTATCTCAAAAACTACTCTACAAACACAAACCAAACACACCCAAGATTTTTCTATCTTTTTTTTTTTCCCCCTCTTGCTGTTATCGCAACATTATTCTTGGTAGTGAAGATGCAATAGATGATGCTTGATTGAAAACCAAGGCGCCCTAACATGCTCACCAACCCATTTAATTTTTTATTTTTATGTGTAGTTGTATACCTATTACTACTCGATGCCACCGCCACCGCCATCACCTCATCTTGCAGGTAATGATGATGAAGCAACATCAAGCCAAGAGGAGCCGTGGAGGAGGGAAAAAATAAATAAATAAATAAATAAAGAGAAATAACTTTTTTTTTTTGCCAACTTTCAAAAATTCAACGGCATACAAAAGAGATAAAACAAGACATATAAGGATTCAAAAATCTGAAGGCATACGAAAAGAGGTGAAACAATACACATGAGTCGAATAAAAACTAGGCCATGAGTTAAATTTAAAGACGCAAAAAATGAGGTGAAATAAAGTTACGACGACGGAGATACAAATACTTAAATATGTAAATTTGAATTTGAAAATTTTGCTTAAAGAGAAAAAAATCTTATTTTTAGCCAACGTTCGGAACTCCGACGACAAGTAAAAAGATGTGAAACAATGCGTATGAAGAGTGGAATAAAAACTAGATCATGAGATGAATCCAACGACGTAAAAATGAGACAAAACAAGTTTACGACAAGAGAAATACAAGTATTTAAACATGTTAGTTTAAATTTAAAATTCTACCCAAATTTTGGTTAATTTAATATGACAGAAATAGATAAAGAAGTCAGATTTGAAATACGGATGAAACTCTAAAATTTAATTTGTCAAAATTAAAATTCTAGAATTTAAATTAAAAAACTCACGAAATCCTAAAATTTATTTTGTAGTAAACCCTTTTTTCTTATAATTGTCCCGAACTAAAAGTTATTGTTTACATAAATTTCAAAAACTAAAAACAAAAACTTATTTGGTCTATAGAATAATGCTTGGGACCCCCTTTTGGGGGCCACCCCCTCACCCCCCTTTGCCACGTGGCGGGTGGTGATTGGAAGAAAAGGAAAAAAAAAGAAAAAGAAAAAGAAAATGTAACCAATGAGAGAGAGAGGGGTCAAAGGGGGTGGAAAGAAAAGGGGGATGAATCATTGTTGTTGGTCTGTATTCATTTCCAAAAGATTAAAAAACAGTATACAAAATTCCGGAAAAAAAAGAAGATAAAATAAAATTTCCCATTTGTTTCTAAACAAGTTTTCATTCTTTCCTCCCCCCGACTCCCTCCAGCCACCCCCCTCACTTGTCTTGAAAACAAGTTTTTGGAAACGTGTTCACCAAACACGTTTTTTTTTTTTTGGTATCAGAAAGAAACATAAACATAACTAATATTTTCTGTAAACAAAAGTAGTGAACTGCAAAAGTTACCAAAGGGCAGTAAACGTTTGAAAGCAAAACTTCAACATTGGACGTGTCTTATAATACGAGTACTATCCAGAAATATTGAAATTAATATGAACGCCTGATCCCCAAACATGTAGATCAGCTATAACTTAAAATCACATTAAAAAAAAAACTCAAAATCTGATTTATACAAAGATTCTGAGTAATTGCAGAAAAACAAATTTCCTTACCGGCAAACTCCACTAGCCATATATCAATTACAATGATACCAGAAACCATCTTTGATCTTTAACCGCACAAGACGATTATGATTTCTCTGATTTCTCTGCAGACGATCTTTCACCCTCAAGTCGTTGACCAATATCAAAACGTAGAATCTCTATAAATTCCTGCAAGAGCTCAAACAAACAGTAGCAATTATAAACTGCAAAGCAACATGGAAAGAAAAGTACACTGTAATCTATATAATTAAACAAATCAATTTGCGGGTTAAGATTGAATAAATCCAATGGTTATGAAAAATGTCATACGCAGCATGGTTGAGAGTTAAGATTGAATAAATCCAATGATTAGTGTTGTTTCCCAATAATGAACAAGGCCAAATATGTGGTGTGTGCACCCCTTTTGGTTACAATGCCAAATCCTTTTAAAGTTTTACGACTTGACCACATTGTTTGATTCCGCTGTTGCTGTAGTAACAAAGATCACAACACTCTGCATCGTGCACACCAGACTGACCCTAGAAACAATTGTTTTGGAACTGAAAACAGTAGCAGGCAGAGAAATAGCACAACAGGATAAAATACTTACACTGGTGAGACCCTCATCACTGCACAATTCATCCACAAGATCTTCTGCACCACTGGCATGGGCAGCACTTACAACTATAGAACGAAAAATTTCTCTAGGTTGATTCTGGTGTTCAATCCTCTGACCTACTTGTTGGAGGTCAACCTAAAGAGAAAGTGATCCCAACCTAATTAAGCAATTATCAATTCATGATATTTGAGATCCAAATTTAACGAGCATATGTGTGAATAACACAAGCATTATTATTCAGAAAAAATGAGCAGCTTTAAGTTTGAAAAACATAGGAGCAGGGGGGGGGGGGGGGGGGGGGTTGTGGAAATTGCTTTATTTGAGAAAAAAAGGAAAGACGAAATATAGCAGAAGGTTTTCTTCAGAAATAGCTAGTGCACGATTGCAATGGACATTTTGCTATATCGTTCTTTCAACAGCACTACATCTCTAAGGTGCTGGATGGTAGGCAAAATAATGCCATTTTTTTTAATATGTAGGGCATACAATTAAAAGAGGCAATTAAAACACATCTGCATGTGCAAACTCCACAGGAATAGAGGACAGGGGAGCCATCAACTTTCTAACCATAGCCAAAAAGTTAGCACAGGTGATAATCCCAAAGACGAGGAACAAGAACTCTCAAATATTTCAAAAAGGATAAAATGAAAGGTGAAATGATGATTAAAATGGGTAATGGTAATGAATGGATTAATTGGGTGAGAGGGAAGCTTTCCAAGAGGACCATTGTCCAGACCGCCATCTCAACACGATGTGCTCTATACAAAATGCCAATACTCCAACACATGAATTGAAAAACAGGGATGAGAGGATGCTTGAAGGCAAAATGAATTATGTGGAATTAAGCTCCATGTTTAAATGAAGCCCAAACTGACTACTGTGTTACGGTCCCAACAGGAGAACGGTTACTAATTAGGTTTATTTTAAAACAAATAGACCAAAAAGACCGTTCTATAATACAAATGACTCAAACAAGATGCATACATCATAATTAGGAAGGTGGGTCAGCACTGTTCATTAATCAATTAATGTTCAAAGGAATTATGGTACACAATTCACACAGGACTAGTCTGTGTGCACAAGTGCCTAGATTTTGTGTATGATACCAACCTGAGAATTTTGATCATTTGCTTTCTCATCTTTGCTTAATCTTCTCTCATTGTACTGTGGCTGGGGATCAGGTCTCGCAGCAGGTATTGATTGAGGGATTGCGGACCCACCACCAAGAACTTGAGAAACCATGGGCATCATCTGTTGAACCATACTTGTCAGATCAATGCCACCACCTTGGCCACTTCCAACACCTGAAAACATGTTTCCAAGATCTTGGCCGCCAAATTGTTGAGCAATTTGATTTACTGTATTCATCATATTGGGGTTTTGAGTAAGCTGTTCCAACATATTCCTGAAGACATTAGGAGAGCCAACACCAGTCTGCTCTGAAACCCCTGCCAATAGACCATTTAAAGCAGGATTATGAAGAAACTGAGACATAGCACTTGCTGCGTCAACCTGACCACTAGCACCTTGCCCTCCCATTTGTAAACTCTGCGTGAGATGCCCAAGGGCAGGAGGCATTTGTGCTGAGGACAGGGAATTTGTATTCCTCGTGTTCACGAGAGATTGCAAAAACTGTTGGGCATTTGCTCCTGTTTGCTGGTTTTGACTGGGAGAACTAGAAGTTGCACCATCACTACCCTTGCCTTGTGATCTTTGTTGCCTAATTCGCCTCTGATCTCATCAGTAATACACAATTTAGAAGAGAACAATGAGTAATAATATTTTTTTTCCTACCAACATATATAACTATGGAATGCAGCACCAAAAGGGTAAAACAAGAACCAGAGAATTAAATATAAGAGCTTCTATCCTAGTCCTCCTTAATGTTCATCAATGGAAAAGAAAACAGTGTTAATTGGAATTCACCAAAAGCACCAGTCAGACAGTTGAAGTACCAACTTAGTGGACAAGTAAAAGCTACAATGACTAGTGAGAAATCAAGTTCATGCAGAGTGGCAATACCTTACTTGGTTCAATTCAAGCAAGAAGCCACAATGAGAGTGCTGACTATCCTTCTTTATGAAATCAGCTAAATAGGCCATCCATATCACCACTTAAAACAAAAAGATGTTTGGAACACGTATGACTTACCTATAATAAAACATTGATAGTACAACTGATTTAATGGTTCAATTAATCGCATATCTGTTTGATCGATTCTTCTCATAATATAACAAATAACTAGAACGAACTTGACACACATCTCATAAGAAGTACAGTCATTACAATTCAAGTATTAGAGACCACAGGCACACTTACCAAACCTCTACATTAAAACTTTAGATGTCCTCAAGTGAAAACTATAAGTAATGCAGACCACCGTCCGCCTCATTTTGCTCCAAATTTAGAGTGTTGCACCCCTTTCAGGTGTTTCAGATTGATCCAGGTGAAAATGTTGACCTCCACTTATCAAGATAGGTGCAAACATAACAATTAAAGGTCCCTCAAGTAGTCTACATTTAGGTTATCTTTGTTCGCATATTTCATTTTTATTTGTAATATATATATGTACTATATTTATAAATAGATATTATGTTATAGTGGTAACGCAAAAATAATTTACCAACACATTCCACCAAACAAGTACTTCCACTAGAGAAAAGCCAAATGCCACCCAAACAGAACTTGTGATAATGATCCCAACAAAACAGATTTCAAATTATGGCATAGTCTAGAAGTAAAAATCAGCCCACCTTAGGTTGCAAACCTCCCAGCCCTAGTCCAAGTGGAACAGCTGTGGAACGCTCTGGATTACCATTCCCCTGACCAGATCGCGGAGCAAATTCTGAATCGTCCCCCAACTTTAGTGTAGTTTCTCCTTTTGAATGGTTAATAGAGCCTACAGCTGAGCTACTAGAAGGTACATCTTTTGAACTCAACCGACTTTCTGTGTCCTCGTTATTACTAGATTGGTGGCGTTCAGGATGTACCTGGAAGTAATTCAGTTAACCAGTTATAGTTTCTAATCAACAATTGATACAAACTTAAAGAGCAATGAGAACACTGGCACAAATAATACCTACTTTCTGACCATCCCTCTCAGGCACACTACCAGGGAAATAGACTCACCTCTCCAGCTCCATTGTCAGCCAGATTTCTAAGCTGACTGTTCCCTTCATTGATACCATCACCAGGTCTGACAGATGGATTCTGATCAGTTGAACTCTCTGATTGGCCTACATAATGTCAAACAGCAGTTCAGTGAACTGTAGCAATATTATAACTCAGGCCCTCACATATTTTATGGTTTCCCACCTGATGGAGACTGGTTTTCACTCTGCATGTTCTCAACAAAGTTTCTAATTTGTGAATTGACTTCAGCTATAACTGTGGATAGCGGAACGGAATCAGGAGGTGGCTGTAAAACAGAAACACCATTTTGAGAAGCACTGGAAACTATAAAAGAGGATTGAGATGGAACAGCAGCTGCAATAAAAGTTCTCACAGGCAGTACCTGTGTTTGACCTGAATCACCAGGACCAGTTCGATTAACATGTTCTCCCTGCACCCCTTCTGCATTAGATGCCCTGGGACCAACAGCTGAAACAATAGGTGCAAGTGAGGGTCCGTGTAATAAAAGGTATTGTGTTGTCTCATATAAAAGGAACATAATGTGTGTTAAATTGTAATCCCCTTACCGGTATGTATATGAATGTTTACATGTCTTGGAACAGCTCCAATGCCAATAGGACCAAAAGTCCCAGGATTTGATGGGCCAGCAGCAGAACCACCAAACAGCAAGCTGGATTGAAGAGGAAAAGGCTGCATAAAAACAAAAGTATGAATCATTCAGATCCGAGAAGTGCAACCTTGGTGAGCAGCAAACACTGGAAATAAGAACAGGGGCGGAGCCAGGACGACTCCATTGGGGGGGGTGGTGATTGGAAGGAAGGTATGGAGAAAATTTTGCAGGAAAGTTGGTGAATTGAGCTAGGTTTTAGTAGATTAAAAAATAATTAAAATATTACTTAATATAGGCCAATTGACCTAACCAATAACTATAGGAGACTAGTCTCAATTTAGACATGTTCTTCACTTCTCATAAACTTATCTAATTATTTGACTATTAGTCAATGTTCTTAGGCCCATAAAGATTTGCAAGTGGTTCGATTGAAAAGCAACAGGAATCCACATAAGAAACCAATCTATTTTCTTTAACAAAATTTAACTGCTTTTAGCAAAGATGTCTTTGTTTAATATGATTTCACATCAATCAAGTAAACTATATTTTTAATTACCAAAATTAAAAAGAGTAGACTATGGTTGCGTTTGGTAGAGTTTTGTAAATATGATTTGAGAGTATGAGTTGTATTTTGAGTTTGTGAGTTGTGGAATTATGATTTGAGTATAGAAAATTTGTTTGGTTATAGTTTTTGAATAGAGTGTTGAATTGAGTTTTGAAAAAAAAAAAAAAAAACCCTTGTATAGAAACTCTTAGACATACAAATCTCAAATAAACAAACGAAAAACGACTCAAGCTTATTATAGCACTTTCTATTTACATAATATTTATTTATACTTGATAATCACAATTTGTAGTTGACATTAATTTCAAATATTTATTTATATTTTAAAATATATTTTACAAGTAGAAAAAAGAAATGTTAGAATATATTTTTATATAAAATATATACACGTTCCCATAGGGGCTAGCTATGAAGCAAAGGTACTGGTACGATACGAGTACGTCGATACGGTAAAATTCAAAAAAAATAGGGTAAGGGTACGGGTACGGGTACAGCTTGGTACGCTCGTAAAAAAATATTTATTTTTAATTTAGAGTAATGCAAAAATTAATTAAATGATTTAATTTGTTAAGGTCCAACCTATAATTAACATTTAATGCCAAAATGAAAAGTATAAATCAAAATTAAATGTCAATATATTAAATAACTTACAAACCATGGTTTAATTTTAAAATTATGCTCAGTATAAAACAAAAATTAAAAAAGAAATCTAGTGAAATGAGTTTTATCTCTGTAATAGAAGGAAAATATTGTTTCAACTGAGGTACGGCACGGTACGGCTTAAATATATACTAGGTACGTCTAGGTGCGTCAAGAATTAAGAAGAAAAAACTTGGGTACATATTTCGTGTACCCGGTACGTATGCAAAAGTATCATACGAGGTACGGTACGCCGGTAAGTACCCGGTACGGGTACAGCATGTTTTTCGAAGTACCCATGCTTCATAGGGGGCTACCAACCTTAAAAACTTTTATATGCCCCCCGCTTCGTGCAACAAAGTGCTGAATTTAATTTGGGCAGTCCATTATATAGAATACAATAATTTTTGGAGGATTGAACATGTAAAAAAATGATCACAAGCCGTCATGTTTTCAGACCATATTCCCTAAAGGCACTATGGCACCTCATGGGGTGGCATATTGTCAAAAGAGAAATAAATCCTGAACTGTTTTCAAGAGGTGCCAAATCTTGATCAAACAAACCTGCATGGGCACAAAAAACATGCATGCCACTTCATAGTGTACAAATTTCTCATGTAACTAGTGGAGAGACACCGTATAAGCTCACTGGTGTCTGGAAAGACAACAGTAAAGGTTCAGAGGGTTAATTAACACCAGAACAAAAAGTTCCCTCTCCCTTTGTCACCAAGAATTTTAGTATCTCTAACCGTTCCATCAACAAACTTCAAGTAGTAAGAACTCTTTAGCACTACAATGAATTTACTAACAAATTCAAATTACAGAGGTACTCTCCACACCTACAAGCCAACGGATATCTCTGTTTCCTTTGTAAATAGCAAAGCTGCCACTTACTAGTCTTTATTCAACACTCAAGGCAGCTTGTACAAGTAATAGATATAACTTTTGGTGTTCTACACTACAACTTCAGTCCCGCTAATACAATTTGGTCATCTAAAATGGTACTTTTGGACCATGGTTCGATACCACACAAAATGTTTCCAGCTTCAAAAGTATCTAATTGATTAATGCTATGAACGGAAAATGGAATGTCTAAAACTATTAACAAACCTGAACCATTATAGGATTTGGCCCGGATGAAGATATATAAACTGCAGGCCCGGAATTCACATAGGACTCGGCCTGCAATATGCATTAAAAAAGTGGCAAGTGAAATTCATTCAAAACCTGAACCATAGTACAGAGGATGAACAAGAACCTACAGGAGATTGTCCCATACGCAGTGTCAAAATTGTCCGCCCAAGCTCTAGCAGAAGAGCCCCTAAATGTTGCGTTGCCAGTCCTAATTGTAATGATTCTGCTTGAATTTGACTCCTTACTGTAAGATCAGTAGAACCCCCCTCCTGCTCCAGGTGTCCTGCAATATTCTACGGAGTTGCAGCAGATTACAAATAACGTAGTATCAGATAATAAGTAAAAGGTTAAGAAATGTAATGTTTATTTTGATTAAGATAATGACCCTTTTTGTTTTCTTCTTTTTTTTTTTTGGGGGGGGGGGGGGGGGGAGGACAATTACAAACAAAACCCCAGAGTTTGGTCCTAGTAACAAAATTAATCATTAGTTTTTAATTTTGTCAATCTAAACCTTAATCTTTTGATTGGTCTTCAATATCATGTTCCTCTTTAATACAGTTTGCACCTACAGAATAAGTATTAGATGCTGGATTTTCTTTCAATCTTGTTATTCAGAACCAGCATTTAGTCACTTTGACCGGAATCTTGAACAATGACATGAAATAAATAGGAATTCCACTCAACACTGTCTTAACCAAGGTATACCTACCGCCACGGGACAATAAGGCCCTACTCCACCCTTCTAACCTCTTACCTATCCTATCCACCACTGGATTCCAAAACATATCATCTCTTGGATTACCTCCCAGTGGTAGGCCTAAATACTTCATAGGAAATGTCTCAATCCCGCAACCAATCAAATTGGCCACACTTTGAATCAGTCTAGGGTCAGCATTAATACCCGCCACCCTACTCTTTTCTAAATTAACCTTAAGCCCTGAAATCACCCCAAAAAGCCTTACCATAGAACAAAGATTTGCCACTTGGCACTCGTCCCCCATAGAGAAGAAAATAGTGTCATCTGCGAATTGCAAATGCGACACACTCAATCTATCTCTACCAATCTGTAAGCCTTCAAACAAGCCCACCTCTATAGCTCTGTCGATCATCCTACCTAACACATCCACTACCAAAATGAAAAGAAAAGGAGATAAAGGATCTCCCTGTCTCAACCCTCGCGTGGCCTTAAAACACTTCCCTGGCTTACCGTTAACTATTACCGACATATTACAAGGCACCAAACAACCCCTAATCCAAGATCTCCATCTCTCACCATACCCTTTCTTATTCATCACGAAATCCAAAAAACGCCAATCTACATGATCATACGCTTTCTCAAAATCTGCCTTGAACACAATGCCTACCTTCCCTGACTTCCTATACTCCTCAACCACCTCATTTGCCACCAAAACCACATCTAGAATCTGTCTACCTTGCACAAAAGCCCCCTGTGTATGAGAAATTGTATCCCCTACAAAACATCTCAACCTTTTTGACAATACCTTACCCAAAATCTTGTAAAGAGATGTAGTCAAACTAATTGGTCTAAAGTCTCCCATTCGAATGGCTCCATCCCTCTTAGAAATCAAACAGATAAAAGTGGCATTTGTGCATAAATTCACCACCCCTGTCTCATAAAATTCCATGAAAACTCTTACCAAATCCCCCTTCACCACCTCCCAGCAATCTTGAAAAACAGCCATGGAAAACCCATCTGGACCCGGAGCCTTATCCCTATCACGCTCAAAAACTGCCTCCCTAATCTCACTTTCCTCAAAAGGTCGCTCTAACCACGTTGCAATTTCCTGATTAATAGGCTGCCACTCAAGCCCATCTATCCCAGGCCTAACAATATCATCCGCCGAAAACAAATTAGAATAAAAATAAAAAAATCCCCCGAACTATTTGCTCCTCTATCCACCACTGCACCTGGCCTTACTTCCAATCGCTTAATGAATTTCTTCTTCCTTTTCCCATCCGCAATTCTATGAAAAAATTTTGAACTAACATCCCCTTCCTTTAGCCAATTCACCTTTGCTTTTTGTGCCCAAAAAATCTGCTCCCTAAGAGTCAACTCTTCCAATTTCAAACCTAACTCCCTCCTCTCTCCCCTCAATGTCTCAATCTCACTCCCTTACATCTCCAAAGTATCTATCTCCTCAATCCTACGCAAAGTCTGATATTTATTTGATTCCAAGTTCGCGAAAACCTCCCTATTCCACTGTTTCACATTACCAAAGGAGAAAGGGGGATTGGCAGTTGGTAATATACTGGCTAGAAATATGGCTTTATTGGGCAAGTGGTTATGGAGATTCCCAATTGAGTGTGATTCATTATGGCATGCAGTTGTCAAAAGCAAATATGGGTTGCATGTTAATGGTAGGGACTCTCAGGTGGTTTCTAGGGGTAATGGGCGTGCTCCGTGGGAGTCTATCTCTCATATCTATCCAATTTGGTCCCAATTCATTTCTGTGAGGGTGGGTAAGGGGGATTCGGTTAGATTTTGGGAAGATGTTTGGGTGGGTTCTTTGTCCTTTGGTGAATCTTATCCGCTTCTGTATAGAATTTCTCAATCTCATAATTGTTTTGTTGAGTCTGTGGCTGTTTCTTTGTTGGCCCCTCGTTCGTGGAATTTTAATTTTTCTCGGAATCTTCATGATAGGGAAATTCCTGAGTTGATATCTTTATTGTCAAGGCTTGAAAATGTTTCTTTGTCTCCAACTTTGGAGGATCAATGGTTTTGGAATATTCATTCGTCAGGGTCTTTTACTTGTAAATCTTTCTTGGATAAAATCATTGATATTCGGCATGTACCTCAGTTTTTGTTTCATAAGAAGATTTGGAAGGCATGTGTTCCTCTTAAGGTGAAAGTGTTTATGTGGATCTTGGTTCATGGGGGTACTTTGACAAATGATTCATTGCAAAAGAGGAGACCTTCATGGTATCTTAATCCTCAATGGTGCACAATGTGTTGTAAAAGTGGAGAATCATTGGATCATCTCTTTTTGCATTGTTCGGTGGCAAGGTTGTTATGGAATAGGGCGTTTGGTTTGGGCAATGTACAGTGGGTGGCTCCTAAAGGTGTTGCTCAAATATTATTATTTGATTTTCAAGTTTTTGGAAGGTCAAAGAGGGCTAAAGTTCTTTGGAGTAGTGTGGTTTTTGCAATCTCCTGGGTCATTTGGTTGGAGAGGAATGGGCGTATTTTTGAAGGAAGGAATAGGGATATAGACTATTTATGGGATAGAGTGAAATACTTGGCATCTTTTTGGGCTTCGGCGAGTCCTGTGTTCCGTGGGATCCCTTTGTTTTTGATCGCTTCAGATTGGGTGTCGGTTTGCTTTGAATAATTTGTGGTTGATGGCTTTTTGTTTTTTGTTTTGTTTTTTGGATGTATTTTTCCTTTTTCCTGTTTGAGGATGCCTCATCCTCTTGGCCTTGTGCCTTAATAAAATTTTCTTGTCTGTTGCTGATCAAAAAAAAAACCTATGTTTAAGGACATAGGGGGAAAAAGGCCTTTTGAATGTAAAACGCTGTTAGAAGTGAATGGTCCTAACTTCGCTGAGGTGATGTGTAAGAAATAATGTATAGAGAAAGAGAGAGAGAATAAATTGTATGTATTATTGATTAATATTAAGATATGTTACAATGATTCCTATATATAGAAGAGTAGGTGGTAGTAGGTGGTAGGTGGAGTAGGTGAAGTGGAGGTGGTAGTGGTATAGTGGGTTAGGTATACCTACCCCCACGGGACAATAAGGCCCTACTCCACCCTTCTAACCTCTTACCTATCCTATCCACCACTGGATTCCAAAACATATCACCTCTTGGATTACCTCCCAGTGGTAGGCCTAAATACTTCATAGGAAATGTCTCAATCCCGCAACCAATCAAATCGGCCACACTTTGAATCAGTCTAGGGTCAGCATTAATACCCGCCACCCTACTCTTTTCTAAATTAACCTTAAGCCCTGAAATCACCCCAAAAAGCCTTACCATAGAAAAAAGATTTGCCACTTGGCACTCATCCCCCATAGAGAAGAAAATAGTGTCATCCGCGAATTGCAAATGCGACACACTCAATCTATCTCTACCAATCTGTAAGCCTTCAAACAAGCCCACCTCTATAGCTCTGTCAATCATCCTACCTAACACATCCACTACCAAAATGAAAAGAAAAGGAGATAAAGAATCTCCCTGTCTCAACGCTCGCGTGGCCTTAAAACAATTCCCTGGCTTACCGTTAACTATTACCGACATATTACAAGACACCAAACAACCCCTAATCCAAGATCTCCATCTCTCACCATACCCTTTCTTATTCATCACGAAATCCAAAAAACGCCAATCTACATGATCATACGCTTTCTCAAAATCTGCCTTGAACACAATGCCTACCTTCCCCGACTTCCTATACTCCTCAACCACCTCATTTGCACCAAAACCACATCTAGAATCTGTCTACCTTGCACAAAAGCCCCCTGTGTATGAGAAATTGTATCCTCTACAGAACATCTCAACCTTTTTGACAATACCTTACCCAAAATCTTGTAAAGAGATGTAGTCAAACTAATTGGTCTAAAGTCTCCCATTCGAATGGCTCCATCCCTCTTAGGAATCAAACAGATAAAAGTGGCATTTGTGCATAAATTCACCACCCCTGTCTCATAAAATTCCATGAAAACTCTTACCAAATCCCCCTTCACCACCTCCCAGCAATCTTGAAAAACAGCCATGGAAAACCCATCTGGACCCAGAGCCTTATCCCTATCACACTCAAAAACTGCCTCCCTAATCTCACTTTCCTCAAAAGGTCGCTCTAACCACGTTGCAATTTCCTGATTAATAGGCTGCCACTCAAGCCCATCTATCCCCAGCCTAACAATATCATCCGCCGAAAACAAATTAGAATAAAAATCAAAAATCCCCTGAACTATTTGTTCTTCTCTATCCACCACTACACCTGGCCTAACTTCCAATCGTTTAATGAATTTCTTCTTCCTTTTCCCCTCCGCAATTTTATGAAAAAAATTTGAACTAACATCCCCTTCCTTAAGCCATTTCACCTTTGCTTTTTGTGCCCAAAAAATCTGCTCCCTAAGAGTCAACTCTTTCAATTTCAAACCTAACTCCCTCCTCTCTCCCCTCAATGTCTCAATCTCACTCCCTTACATCTCCAAAGTATCTATCTCCTCAATCCTACGCAAAGTCTGATATTTATTTGATTCCAAGTTCGCGAAAACCTCCCTATTCCACTGTTTCACATTACCAAAGGAGAAAGGGGGATTGGCAGTTGGTAATATACTGGCTAGAAATATGGCTTTATTGGGCAAGTGGTTATGGAGATTCCCAATTGAGCGTGATTCATTATGGCATGTAGTTGTCAAAAGCAAATATGGGTTGCATGTTAATGGTAGGGACTCTCAGGTGGTTTCTAGGAGTAATGGGCGTGCTCCGTGGAAGTCTATCTCTCATATCTATCCAATTTGGTCCCAATTCATTTCTGTGAGGGTGGGTAAGGGGGATTCGGTTAGATTTTGGGAAGATGTTTGGGTGGGTTCTTTGTCCTTTGGTGAATCTTATCCGCTTCTGTATAGAATTTCTCAATCTCATAATTGTTCTGTTGAGTCTGTGGCTGTTTCTTTGTTGGCCCCTCGTTCGTGGAATTTTAATTTTTCTCGGAATCTTCATGATAGGGAAATTCCTGAGTTGATATCTTTATTGTCAAGGCTTGAAAATGTTTCTTTGTCTCCAATTTTGGAGGATCAATGGTTTTGGAATATTCATTCGTCAGGGTCTTTTACTTGTAAATCTTTCTTGGATAAAATCATTGATATTCCGCATGTACCTCAGTTTTTGTTTCATAAGAAGATTTGGAAGGCATGTGTTCCTCTTAAGGTGAAAGTGTTCATGTGGATCTTGGTTCATGGGGGTACTTTGACAAATGATTCATTGCAAAAGAGGAGACCTTCATGGTATCTTAATCCTCAATGGTGCACAATGTGTTGTAAAAGTGGAGAATCATTGGATCATCTCTTTTTGCATTGTTCGGTGGCAAGGTTGTTATGGAATAGGGCGTTTGGTTTGGGCAATGTACAGTGGGTGGCTCCTAAAGGTGTTGCTCAAATATTATTATTTGATTTTCAAGTTTTTGGAAGGTCAAAGAGGGCTAAAGTTCTTTGGAGTAGTGTGGTTTTTGCAATCTCCTGGGTCATTTGGTTGGAGAGGAATGGGCGTATTTTTGAAGGAAGGAATAGGGATATAGACTATTTATGGGATAGAGTGAAATACTTGGCATCTTTTTGGGCTTCGGCGAGTCCTGTGTTCCGTGGGATCCCTTTGTTTTTGATCGCTTCAGATTGGGTGTCGGTTTGCTTTGAATAATTTGTGGTTGATGGCTTTTTGTTTTTTGTTTTGTTTTTTGGATGTATTTTTCCTTTTTCCTGTTTGAGGATGCCTCATCCTCTTGGCCTTGTGCCTTAATAAAATTTTCTTGTCTGTTGCTGATAAAAAAAAAAAAAAAAACCAGCATTTAGTCTCCAATTTGAAGTTTCTTTGAGAAAAGCAACTAAGTGAGCACTTGATACTATATCATTCCAACACTAGATAATTATATCAATACATGTTACACAAAGCCTCGTATAAACTGCACATGGATAGAGTAGGCACATCCCTTAATTTGGCTGGAGGCCCATTTAACAGCTTTGGAAGCCTTCCATCAGTGTAATAGGCAGATTATTATTATAAATATTTTAGTTAGAATTAAATACATAAATTTAAGTAGAATATTTTCATTATGTTTCCAAATAATATTAGGATTTAGTTAACTAATTTAATTAGGGTTATTAGCCCATATAGTAGATAATAAGGTTCTCATTTTATTATTCTATTTGGTTTAATGGTATTATGACTGTTCAGGGTGTGGCAACTTTGTGTATCCTTCCCTCTTTTCCTACTGTGTTCTACATCGCGGCATGATAACCATCTCCTCTCTGATTGATGAAATTTTATAATACATTAAAGTACTCTAAAGTCAGATATTCACTGAATTTTACAAGACAATGCAAACAAGCCAAAGTAGAGTTGTATGAGTGTAGTGCATACAGATAGTGCAGCAACAGTAGGACCACTGAGAAGATGTTGTGCATGTCGCAGAACAATGCTCAATGTTTCAGGTGTTGACAATCCACGTGCATTGGAAGGCAGTTCCACCGTTGGTAGATCTCCAATGTTGGTTAGTGATTGATTTGGCTGATGCCCTACATATGAATATGTACATAAACATTATTCAGCAAACTACTGTACAACAAAATAATGAGACTACTATTTTTGAAATTATAACCATTCTGTAGTGCCAGCTCCACGCGGTTCATGAACTCAGAAAGTGTGTGCAAAGAATCAGGAATTGGCTGAAAATCAGACAAAAAAAATGTATACATGAGAAAGAACCAGATGATATTTAAGCAAGAACTTAACTCCCTCTCACTACCCCCCCCCCCCCCCCCCAGCAAAAAAAAAACAAAGAAAAAAGAAGGTGAAATTTTTCTACCGCATTAAGAGAAGGAACAGGTATTGCTGCTCCCAGTGGGATTTGCAGAACCTGGGGTAAGTTTTGACTTGGTAATGCCTGTCCAGGCTGTGTTTGATTTCCTGCTTGGCTCTGACCGCTAGTATTATTCCGTGCTCCTTCTGTTTCATTTCCTTGAGGAGCTTGACCTGGAGAATTGAACTGTCAAGAAAGAACCAACAAATTAAATCAGGCAACTGATACATAGATAGAAAGCAATCACAAAACACATAAAAGGGATCCATATCCCTCAAACCACTTTTAATAACTCTAAGGGAGTGTTTGTTTGGGGGGATTAGAGTGTGGAATAGGACTCCATGTCCATTGCATGCGTCAGTCCGACGTTTGGTTCAAAACATATAAGCTGGACTAATAGTCCAACCAGAGTATCAATCCCTTATTTGTGAGATTATTGTGTCCCCATGGGAGGGTGTGGGATAAAAAGGGTGGGATAACTCCTCCGGATTGGAATTTTAAAATGACATTTTTGGCCCTCAATTTTTTATTTATATTATTTTTAATTATACTTTGTAAAGTAAAATAAAGTTTAAAAATCTCAACTAAAAATAAAATAAAATTAACAATCTAATCCCCCTTTAAAAGTTTAATTTATTTAATAAAAAATAAAATTAAAAGTTCAATTTATTTAAAAGTTCAAATTAAAACAAAATTAAAAAATCTCAACTAAAAATTAAAATAAATTTATATAATTTTTATTGATGTTCTATCTATTTAATTTTTTGTAAGTTCTAGTAAAAAAATTAAATAAAATAGGATACCCATCGAATTCAATAGAATAGTCCGATCCAAACATCTAATCTCATGACTAAACAAACATAGGATTCAATAGAATAGTTCAATCCAAGCATCAAATCCCATGATTAAACAAACATAAGATACAAATCCAATCCAATCAAAATAGTCCAAGACAATGTATTACAAGACTAACAGTCCAGTGGATTGCAATGCCTCTATCCACAACACTGCTAGAACAAATTCCCTATTGTCTCATAAAATCTAATTTCAACTCAATCAAACAGTTGCAATCATCAATTTCACATTCGCATCAATCAACTGATTGATTGAAAGATGGTCATAAAAGAAATCGAAACAAAATTAAAAAGGACAAATAAGAAAAAAATTAACCTGCACAGTGGGTTGCACACCCCCCATAACACCAGTTGCAGTCTGGCTCCCAATTCCAATAGAATTTAAAACTGCCCCAATAACCTGAAACCAGGCGAAAAAGCATAAAATATTACTGCCATAATACAGAGATATAATCTAAACATAATACCCTCAACGTATAACAGAAAAGACAAAAGAGGCCTAAAAACATACCCGAGTTAGATCTGGCACAATGCCCTCGCCTTGTTCCCCAACATTAAGAGTACCAAGTACTACACTCGGTGATATTTGTCCAATGCGATTATGTGGACCAGCAGCATTCGCATTGTGTCCTGACAAATTGTATGAGAAAGAAAAAAAAAAAAATCTTAGTTTGACCTCACTGATATCTCCTGTAAAAATAAAGCTCTACTGTAAAAATAAAGCTCATGGCCAGGTAAACAGCTTAGCCAGTGAACCAATACCTCTATTACCATTATCTGCACTTGTCTCTCCAGAACTTATACTAGGAGGCTGTGATTCAGAAGGCTGCCTGGCAACTAAATGCAAAGTATGCCCATTTTCAACATCTAAGCACAGTCAAGGTTTATATCACAAAAAATAACAACACGATGAGGAATAACATAGAATGAACCTACAAGATCAAGATTGCTGCACTTTCTTGGAAAGGAAACTACCTTCTTGATAGAAAGAATAAAGGAGCAGGTGGGGACATATACTACTCCAACCAACCGTGCCTCTATGCATAGTTATCAGAATCCCGATCCGGATCTTACGATCCTACGATCTTACGATCTATTTAAGTACAATCGATCCGGATCGTGTAAAAAACTCCTTATAGGTAGGATCTTTCGATCTTGGTAGTGGGATCTTATAGGATCGTAGAATCCCGATCTGAATCCAATCCTATCTGATCCAATTTACAAGCCTTATTTTGTATTGTATGACATATTTTATTGTAAATTTTATGTTTGTTGTCTAAATACCAATTTATGTGGTCAAAATAAATAATAAAAATTAAGTAGTATTGAATCAAATAGACTAAGAAAAACAAACTAGAAAACAAACATTCAAATATTGCGGTAATTTAAAAAAATTAAATAGTCGGAAAAACAAACTTAGTTTTAGCAGAGTCCAAGGAGGGTAAGATGATTGCAATTTTATCCCAATTTTTGGAGAGATTATTTTTGTGACTTGAATCCGCTCCACCAGGGATGCTAACGACAAACCTTATCATTCGGTTAAGTTATTCTTTTGAGTTTTTAATATATTTTCATATCCAACTTTGTTAAATATTTTTTCTTCACTTTTTATGCATTATTATAGATTGTAAAGTATTTTGTTATAGAATTCTTCTTCTTCTTCACCTTCTTTTTTGATGAAATACAATACTTTTGCCATCGAGTTTTCTATTGTATAATATTATATGTACATTTTACATAGAGTATTATATTTTTCATAATATCTTCACTTTTTTTTAATAGAATATAGGCTCATTTCGTGTATACTTTATAAGAAATATTTTTTTAAATTAAATTATTATGTATCCTGTCCTTTTCGGTAGGATCTTACGATCCTCGATCCGATTCTACGATCCGATCCTCTAAACACCTCCAACGATCCAACGTAGGATCCCGATTTTAACAACCTTGCCTCTATGCAATTCAAAATTTCCAACCAACCATCTTGAAATCAGTACAGACCTGACCTTTTTCCTTTGTGGACATATACTACTCCAAAAGCTACATTAACTCCCCTAAATTTGACACCCCATAATTTAACCTAACCAAATAAGGATTCTGTGGGTCAAAAAACAAAAGGAAGAAAAAAGATAAAGAGTTGTTATCTGTAATCAAAAGTCTTAAATTAATGTGATGGCCTCTACATAGTCATAAAACCAAATTAGTCAATCACTTAGAATCAACAATGCTCATCTTAGTTGACCCTTGTTTGTAAGCATATATGGATAATCTTGGAAATTCCATTGTTCCCTTTACTACTAGTACTACACATGCATTATTTCCATGTGGAATGTCTTCATGACAGGATAATAGAAAAAGGTAGAGGGCGGGTGGAAGGGAATGTTATATAGACTAAAGAACTCCAATTTTTAGTCAATAGCAAAATCTTTATAGAAATACATCACAAACATATGCAATGGTAGGATACGATATTCGGACAGCAGGTGATCATCCTTCAACACTTTTCCCCTAAAAATTAGCCGTTGCTGCCCAACTGGAAGACCAATTTGACTAGCTATTTTCTCCTTAAACAGTGAGACTGGCATCTGAAATTTTTTAAAGATCAAGAATACAAGCCAATAAGTATAACTTATTGGAAAGGTTAACTACATGTACTATAAATGCAAGTTCAACAATGTTCAAGTCTGTATAATGGATGTTTCACTAATTTCAGTAATTATGAAAAGCTTCAGATACGAGTAACTTGAAGCAACTCAATTACAATCCGTGAATGGTGCAGAAATAAAACAATAATTGCAAAAGAATCCACATGAACAAATAGTAAGTAATCAACGCAAAATAAAAACCCATATATATGTATAAAGAAAACTGTGTAAATTACATTTTTATCCACTTGAAAGCTATAGATCTGCGAATCTAAAGTCTTGATATTGAGCTCCACCATTGATTCTGAGCTTTCACCACCAACATCACTCATACTGGAAGCTTCAACTGAATGCTGATCTGCCATGTATTTTGAAAATGAATCTGATAGCTAAAGAGCAATTCATGTAATGTATCAGAACCAACAAGAGTTTGTGACCAGGGTCTAATCAATTTAAACTCAAAAGTGATTGGGCAAAGACATGTTTGTACAAACCAAAATAACAGATTAAGATACCAAGCTGTTCAACTTTCACAAATTCAAAAACACCTAATACCAACAATGTCATGCTAGTATATCAATAAAAACTTGCCAAAAACTATGACATCTTCATGATATTTCATTTCACCAAAAACAAATATTCTAGAGAGGACATCAAAAGTGCTCATACACTATATTCTTCCATTTGGATCGCAGGGCGAGAAAAGAAAAGAAATTATTGTGGCCTATGATTGTATTTTCTCACCATCATATTTGGATGAGCGCGAAAGCAAAAGCATGTGACAGACGGATATTCTTCCTTTTTGTATTTTAAAGGTCAATCTTGGTATTATAAATATTTTATAACCAAGCAATCAACTTGTTTCGGGAGCTTCTATTTGCACACCACTTATTCTCTCAATTCACACCATTATCCCAATTTTTTTAATTACCATTATATCCTTTAATTAAATTACCTACACACCCCCCCTTCCCTCTCAACTCACGACCGCCGGCTGCCACCTCCTCCCAACCCCACCAGCACCGGTTGCCACCCCTCACCTCCAATAGCACCATTCCCACCACCGCCGGTTGCCATCTACCCCACTTCCACTACCGGTTGCCCACTTCCACCGCCTCCCCCCGCTGCCCCCTACCTCTGGTACCATCTTCCCTCTGCAACAACTCTCAAGCGCCCCCTTTGGCGAACCCCTCTCATCGCGACCTCTTCTTCTCTTTTTCGCTTGCTCGCTCTCTCTCTCTCTTTCTATTTGATTGATCATTCATCGATCTTAGTCAATCGCAAGGGTTGGGGGTGGCGGTCACTAAGGATGCGGTAATGGAGAGGTGTGGTTGTGGAGGTGTCAGAGTGGGGTGGAGTTGAGGCAAGGAAAGGTTGAAGGAGTCTGGCGGAGGGACGGTGGCAGACGGGATGGGTTGTGGAGGGTGGATGGGGACAGGGATGGGTCGCCGGATCTGGTGGTGGCTGGGTTGTCTGGGGGAGGGACGGTGGCAGTCGGGATGGGTTGTGGAGGGTGGATGGGGACAGGGATGGGTCGCCGGATCTGGTGGTGGCTGGGTTGGGGGTAGGTAGGGTTAGGGTATTTTGGGAATAAACGGTGTGAATTGAGAAAATAATAAAAAATGAAGATGGTGTGGAGGTGTGAACTAGAAATGGAGTGTATTGAGGCAAACTATGGCGTGTAAATAGAAGCTCCCACTTGTTTCTCACCAAATCACACCATTAGTAAGATAGTCTCTTTCTCACCATTTCTCATCATTTCTCACCATTTCTTACAGAACTTACAAATCAAGCATGAAAAAAGTGTTCTCTTTCTCCTTGTTTCTTATCATTTCTCACTAAATCACCCCATCCAAACAGAAAAACTCAATCAAATCAAGATAGATAAACTAAAAACAATAGATACATAGACATGCACGCACAGTACAGAAACGAAAAGGAAAAAATCGAATAGCTAAGCAGAGATTCGGATTAAAAACAGGTATAAAAACGAAATTTCTTGCTTGAACCAATCTGTATTAGAAGAAAAAACAAAGCTCAATTCACGAGACCGAGAAAACGAAATTCATCTTACCCCAGCTTGGATAGAAGTGAGGAAATCGGAGCTTAGAAAACCTTAATCGGAGAGTGAAGAAGAAGAAGAAGCTGAGAGATTGAAAGAGTGATCGACGAAGCCAATGCACCCAAAGTATCTATGATTTTTGATTCGTGAATGGGATGTGATGAAGATCTGCTGCTAAACGCTTTTTCCGACAGATTAAGTAAATTTAAAAAAATTGAAAGTGAAATTGTACCATAGACCATCCCTCTGATTATCAACCGTACCGTTCGAGAAGAACCTAGATTTCACTGGAAATTACGTGCAAGCAATTGTAGCAACGACGTCGTATTTTTCCTCTTGAGAAATTTGAATTACAAAACATTTTGACTTGATTTTTTCAATTTTTTTTTTGGTTTTTTCATTCAGCACCTAATCCATATTTGGTATTAATTTAAAGACAACTAAAATATATTTGTTGATTTAAGAATATTAAATTTTTATGGACAAAACTATCCTTTCATTATTCCACTACCTTTAACTACCGTTGATATCTCTGACCACTATTTATAACCATTGCCGACCACCTCTAGTAGTTGGTAACAATTTTTCCATGACTATTATTCAATGAAATTTCACTGATTTAGCATAATTAAATTATCTGTGACTCTTTGACAAAATGAATTTTCAGTGTTTAAAAAAAATCAATTAATTGCAAAAAGCACAAATGAAATTTCACTATGCTAAATCAGTGTTAGTGAAATTTCTCTAACCAATACTAGTGAAAGTGCACAAAAAAAATTGCACAAGCTTAAAGAAATTTCATGGACTTATAATTTCACTAACTAATTCAATTAAAGCTTAACAAAATTTAAATGTTTTTATACCATGGTGAAATTCGCAATTATGGAATTTCATTGACTAATTCAATTAAAGCTTAATAAAATTTAAATTTATTTACATCACAATGAAATAACAATATTTTCAAAGTTTACAAAGAGAGAATAAATAGAAATACAAAAAAAAAATGTGAGAGAGAGAGAGAGAGAAAGAAAGAGGAAAAAAACTAGACTAGATGATAGAAACAGAGTGGTGGTAAAAGAAATTAAAGATAAAGGTGATGGAAGTATTGGCGAATGTCGAATGACGGTTGAGATTTAGATCAACAAAGTATAAACAATAGTGATGAAGACATAACGATTTTGAATGTTGAACAATGCTTAAGATTTAGATTGACAATATGCAAACAACGGTAATGAAACGACGATAGATGTCAGTCGAAGCACTGCTTCAAATTTGAATCAAGAAGATGTAAACAATGATCGGAAAACGGTAGTGGATTGCGGTTATAGCAATGCCAGTGAATACCAATATCTTGTGATAGAGAACGAAAGATATAAAGAAAGAAAGAGAAACGATAGATAAATCAGAAAGACAGAAATGACAAAGAACATAGAGATAGAGATGAGAAAAATAAAAAAAGTCATGAAGAAAATGTATTGTAGGGGTTTTAGGATTCTAAGGTAATTTCGGACCATTTATGTCAAACAAATTCTTTGTGCTATTAAATTTTGAAATTCTAAGGACTTTAACTAATAAGGAAGCTTTTAGTAGGCTAGAATTCAATATTGTAAGTGCAAGTCAACGTTCTTGATATGAAAGTGAAAGTGGAGCAAAAGTCGGCCCTAAGTAGAATCCAAAGATGTTCAAGCTAGATATAAAAGTGAAGTTCAATCGTCGAAAGTGATATCTCTTTTAGTCCGATCTTCTTTTCTCTTTTGAGTCGAGTTATTAAGACAGGACAGGGAATCGGGTTTTTTGAATATATCTCTCTTCTGGCCTGTCCTATTAAGGTCTCATTTGGCAACCTTTAGTTTTAGCCAAAAAATCAAAAAGTCATTATAAATTGTCACATCATTCTTTCTATTTTTCTGCATATCTTTTCGTAAAAAATCAAAAAGTTACTAAAATGGTTTGTTTCCAAACGAGACCTAAGTAAGTTAGTTCGAGATCAAAACTAAACCTAAGAAAGACTAGACTTCTAGTAACAGTAAGTGCGCCTTCCGTTAAGGAGAGTTGTTCACAAGAAATGGTTATGTGGTCTTTCTTGTTCCGGTTCAGAAGAGTAAATTCCTTCAGTTGCACTAGTAGATTGAATAACCTTTTCTTTAGTGCCAACAAAGTACATGTGTTGTTACTTGTAGAGGGATGTGTCCCTAATTTATTTTTTTTATCATTTTTTTTACTTTTTAATTATTTCTGATGGGTCATTTCACATACCAAAAATAAAACACTGGTGTGTTTGGTATTCTTTTAGAATAATGGCAAGTCCTGGTATCGATCCACAGGGAGAAATGGGAAATTCAACTAATTTAATTGTTAAATTTTTAAATTAATTTTGATAAAAAGATTGAGGGATTCTATCACGACCTAATCCCGCCCTTTTAGAGTGTTACCAAACGGCACCTGAACTATACCAAATTCTTTTAGAATAATGGCAAGTCCTGGTATCGATCCACAGGGAGAAATGGGAAATTCAACTAATTTAATTGTTAAATTTTTAAATTAATTTTGATAAAAAGATTGAGGGATTCTATCACGACCCAATCCCGCCCTTTTAGGTTTAGCGACGTAACTGGCCAGTAATCCTAGGATTACCAAAGGCCTCTTAATAGAATAACAAAATATAAGGGGTTACGGAAGCAATTATACAAAATACAAGGTCCATAGAGCTGTGTAGACATACATGAAACAAATAATATTTTATACTTATATGATGTCAAACTTCCATATTCATAGTATCATAAGGGACTTCGCCTAATTTACAGGTAGACAAATCAAACAAAAACAAAAGAACATCTTCAACAAGACCACAAAACTTGACTTCTCAAAAGGAACCTCTCCGGGAGGCATATTGGTTGGCTGACCAAAAAACACTCGAGGCAGTAATTTAGGCCTGGTCACGCGCCTGCTCACCTACATACATAAATATAAATAGTGAGCGGAAGCCTAGTGAATAATAACAAAGTAAAGGGTTTTAATGAATTATGTCCATCATAGAGTTAGAAATCAGAGTTTATATCAGAAACAGAGTCATATGCATATTCAGATTTCAATCAGAAACAGGTTCATATTCATATTCTTATTCAAATCATATACAGAAATCAGAGTTCATGTTTAATCATACATGGTACATCCATTAGCGTTATCATGCTTGTTAGTTCTATTAAGGAACCTTCGGTACCGGAAAACTTGTAACATACTTGAGTCGTGGTATTATTACCCCCGAGAAAGGGCCTTAAAACCACGGTATTATTACCCCCGGGCAAGGGCCATGAGACCACGATAATATTACCCCCGAGCAAGGGCCTTGCTTATAAACCACAGTATTGTTACCCTCGGGCAAGGATGCCACGAATACTTGTCAGAAATTGGACAATCATTCATTGTACCGAATATAACATTTCATAAAACAGATCATATTCCATTATATAGAAAATAAATAAAGTTGAACATAGCTTTACTAAGTTATTACTCACAGATGGCTCCACTTGCAGAACAGATTAAGCAAATAAACCAGACCGTCTATGGCGCGTAACCTACACAAACATAGAACGGATACATATTGAATTACACACCCGGAATCATTAACTTAGTTATTTCTTATCTTGGTGTGTTTCTAACTTTTGTCCTCATTATTTTGTCTTAATCTTGACCTAGGAATGCCTAGGATGCAATGAGGATGTTGAAATGCACTTGAACACATTTAACAAAACTTGCTAAAAACAGGGGTTCCGCTCGAGCGCAACTTCTTTCGCTCGAGCGGACATGCAAAATGTGAATGGTCACTCGAGCGCAGCTTCTTTTACTTAAGCAGTCTGAAAAAGTACTGGATATGTGATTTTCACGCTCGACGGATGCTCGATAGCCGCTCGAGCAGCTTGCAAAACATGTGAACTTCTAGGAGCATACATTTTACACTCGAGCCAACTTTTGGTCGCTCGAGCGAAAGTGTAAAAATATAGGTGGTCGCTCGAGCACAGGATCTGTCGCTCGAGCGGAGAGGTCGAATTCTGGAATTTTCAGATTGCACTCCTAAGTCCAAAACTCAACTTCAAGGCTACAATTTACATCCTTTTGACCTCAAAACTTGAGGGAATATAAGTACATGTGGAAAACATCATGAATTCAAAACCAATGTGGAAAACATCATGAATTCAAAACCAGTTCGCAGAAATTAAGGCCCAAAGGCATGTCAATTGTATGAAATCAAACTTGGAATGTTAAAACATCACATGAACTTAACGTGCAAGTAATTCTTGACTTCAAGGTCTTCAAAACAAGATCAAATAAGATGTTCAACTCAAGGATATGAGGAATCCATAGAAGAAGATTAAAAGAAGGACATGCAAGAGGGAAATTCTTTGAAAACAACCTCAAATTGTGATAAAATGAGCATGCATCCATTATATGGTTCAATTCTCTTCATTTCTAACTCAATTCTTGTATCATCCAACCCAATTCTCTAGAGTTCATGTCCTATACATCATAATTGTACAATCTAAAGGTTGAATTCTTGCCTAGGCTTCTCAGTGATGCTCTAGATGATCAATTGTTGGAAGTTCCAAGCCAAAATCTCTAAGTTCTCTAGCAATCTTCTCAATTTGAGCAATCTTCTCAATTTGAGCTCAAACTCCTCTTCTCTCTCTCTCTCCCACATTTGGTGAGTATAAAGATGATCAAAAAAAGGACTTCTAGAGGCTATTTTGGCCTTATATAGGCTTGGATTAAGGAATTCATTAATTAGGTTTAATTGAGCACTAATTATTCTAATTATTTCACTTCGAATCGAATTTTAATTGAACCTACCGCAATGTTCTAAAAAATCCAACTAACACATATACCAAGTCGATTTCGTGATTGGATGCCGATAAGGCCTTCAATTTGCAGAACAAATCAGAAACAGAAACAAATATTCTTATTGCGGATAGATATAAACACAAATAATGCAATACACATGTAATTAACTCAGGATTTCATCTTAATTACTTATTAGGCATAATTAATCATGGTTAATCAACTAATCACAGGTCGGGGTTGTTACAGATTCATAAACTAATAATAATTAAATTAAACAAAGTGATTAAACTAGCAATTATAAATAAAATTGGAATTATTGATTTTTGGGAAAAACCTAGGGTAATGGGTCCACCACTAGTTACATAAATAAGGCTTCAATTTGAGATTCAATTATGTTACGGATCAA